ATATGTCGTATATTCTAAAATGAGAGTTATTTGTTTTATATAAAACCTTATCACATAATAAATAATTGTTGTAATTTAATTTTTTTTAATAAAATTAAAAAGCCGCTACCCATAATAATATAACTGTGCCAGCCGTCATAAAGAATACTATGTGCCGCAAACAGTATTAATGTGCGAGTGTAGAGTAAGAGGGAACGAGACGTCTGCCGGGCGCGAGAAAAAGAAATAAAATGACGTTTACGACTAATCACGGGCCACCCGACAAAAGTCAGCGGTCGAAACTGGAACATCGATGTATGACGATAAGATACCTTTGTTTTACTTAATGGTAAATTGCATGGCATAAGCGACGTGATTTGAGGGCCGTGGCGGGTCAGAAGGTGTATTCCGTTCAGCCCCCCGCAACTTAACCGACCACGCCCTGAACTGGTCTAGTTTTTGAATATGTTACACCCTTAGATGACGTAGTACTTAAGAAAAATATCGTAAATAGCCATTTTTGTCAAAAACAGGAAGAGTTACGACCGTGATTTTGTTACGTCATGATTTTTATTGTTGTTTTTATGATCCGATATATTTTTATTTCTCATACTGAATTATTGTGTTTCGGTACTGAAAGAGATAAAGTTATTGAATAAATCACATTTTCAATTACTTTTTAATTATAAAATTTAAAAACTTTTAATTTTTAGTTATATCATCTAATTTTCAGTTTAATATGTATTTTAAATTATTGCATTTCAAATTATGATAAATTAGAGTTTTATCAGTAATTTTTAATAAGTTTATTTCACTTTTAATTGTCAATTTTAATTATTTCAACTTACATAATATAATCACGTTACCTTAGCAGTATATTAATAATATAAAATTTATTTACGACGAAATCAATCTAATATTTTTGAGACGTATTGATTACACGAATGTTAAATGAAAAAAAAATAACAAAATGAAAATCGCTTTCAAAAATTTTAAAATAATTCAATGAGCAGTTGCTTTCGGAGTGGATGCCGGCTATAAATACGCCAGACGGGGTTTTATATTAATTTTCATAATGTTACATCGTTTTTGACTCGATACTTTGGATTTAAAATACTTTATTTTAAAAATATACAATACTGTGTATCGTTGAAGAATTCTAACGTAGGTGAACAACCTTACGACTGCATTGTCTGATGGTGTTCCATGATACAATTCATCCTCAGAAAAACCCACATACAAAGTTTCAATTTCACTGTTGAAGAGTTCCATCGTAAGAGGAAATCTTCACGACTGCAGTGTTTATCGTGTACTAGGACGCGGTCTATGGCCAGAAGAGGTTGTATACAAAGTTTCAAATCTATGCTGTTTACCATTGAAGAGTTTAATCATAGGAAGGATCTCTCACAGCTGCATCGTCCTTTGGCACATGAGGATACGATCCATCGCGCTCTGGTGTATGAGATGAGATCTATCGTTGCAACAGCTCGAAAATAAAGTTTCAAAGGGGAATGTCAAGCCTCTATAGTCACTCCGACTCTGGGTGCACACATTGAAAACAGTATCCAAACGATAACATGACATAACAGTAAAGCTTAGGTTAAGGAATCAGTTATATAAAAGTCGGTGTTTTAAAACTATAAACAGTTTTAATTTTAACAATAAAACAGGCTTTTACAATAAAACTTTACTTGTTTTACATCAATTTCTGCGTATTTCATGTTTGCATATCGTTCGAAATTGCAACAAAGGTAAAACTCTTACGCCTTAAAAACAATAGTAGGTAATAAGCTACACACATCATTTAACAAGTGTCATTCACCTTGTGTGTCGTCATGCACTGCTGAGACTTCATCTAAAAACCGAGCTGGTGGAGAAATATAACTTTGTTGCAGTGCCCACCCCAGATACCAGATAACCGTCATCACACAAACACAACATCCTCCGTTCGTCTACGAAATATGCAGTTGCAATGTAGCTGAAGTCGATTCTAATTTCGCACTGAGTTCGTCATTGGATACATAAGCGGTATCCATGTTCTAGCCTTGGTCAAAAGATTCTTTGGTATGAATGTTCATTTACAATGCCAAGTCGTTAGATTTTAAAAAACAAAATAGAATACAATACACGACAAAAAAACTTCACATAAAAGTTTTGCAAGCAGGTAACTAGCCAGTGTCAACTAATGCCAAATGTCAGTTTTTCTGATTTAGCGTGCGACATGTTGCCATTTCCCATGCAAAATCGATAAATCAATATCGAAGTTTATTCGAATAGTTATCGGAAATTATTATGCCATGGGGTTATTATTCAATAATGTATCCAACAAATCAGAGAATACGACATTCGTGATGATTCCTTCATCATTTTTATAGTTTTTGCTTTGTCCACATTAAGAAGAAAAAAACGTTGTTAACAATCATCCATTACTCTTCCATTTATCATCTGGTGCTGCCATCGAAAGATTTTATTTAAATATTTATTAGTTGCATAATAAGCCCAACTAGTAATGATAAATGAATATTGCCTAAATTTTACAAAAAATAAATAAAGAACATTATGTAAACATTATATGTTGTGCGTTTTTAGGCCACAGTCTGGCATTCCTCTTTATGCTGTTTAGCGTAAGATAGCTTTATCATAAGAGGAAATCGTTTCGGCAACATCATTATCTGGTTTACGAGGACACTATTATTTATCATAACAGTTTCATCGTAGGTAGAAACTCTCACGACTGCATCGTCGTTTGTTGTATCAAGACACGATTCATCGTCAGAACAGCTCGTGCACAAAGGTTCAAGTATATGCTGTTTACCGTTAAATAGTTCCATTGTAGAAGTAATCCCTCACGACTGCATGGTCGTCTGCTGCATTAAGACACGATTCATCGTCAGAACAGCTCGTGCACAGTTTCAAGTGTATGCTGTTCACCGTTAAATAGTTCCATTGTAGAAGTAAACCCTCACGACTGCATGGTTGTCTGTTGTATTAAGACACGATTCATCGTCAGAACAGCTCGTGCACAGTTTCAAGTGTATGCTGTTCACCGTTAAATAGTTCCATTGTAGGAGAAAACCTTCACGACTGCATCGTTGTTTATTGTATCAAGACACCATTCATCGTCAGAACAGCTCGTGCACAAACTTTCAAGTGTATGCTGTTCACCGTTAAATAGTTCCATTGTAGAAGTAAACCCTCACGACTGCATCGTCGTCTGTTGCATCAAGACACCATTCATCGTCAGAACAGCTCGTGCACAATGTTTCAAGTGTATGCTGTTCACCGTTAAATAGTTCCATTGTAGAAGTAAACCCTCACGACTGCATCGTCGTCTGTTGTATCAAGACACCATTCATCGTCAGAACAGCTAGTGCACAGTTTCAAGTGTATGCTGTTCACCGTTAAATAGTTCCATTGTAGGAGAAAACCTTCACGACTGCATCGTTGTCTGTTGTATCAAGACACCATTGATCGTCAGAATAGCTCGTGCACAAACTTTCAAGTGTATGCTGTTCACCGTTAAATAGTTCCATTGTAGAAGTAAACCCTCACGACTGCATCGTCGTCTGTTGCATCAAGACACCATTCATCGTCAGAACAGCTCGTGCACAATGTTTCAAGTGTATGCTGTTCACCGTTAAATAGTTCCATTGTAGAAGTAAACCCTCACGACTGCATCGTCGTCTGTTGCATCAAGACACGATTCATCGTCAGAACAGCTCGTGCACAAACTTTCAAGTGTATGCTGTTCACCGTTAAATAGTTCCATTGTAGAAGTAAACCCTCACGACTGCATCGTCGTCTGTTGCATCAAGACACGATTCATCGTCAGAACAGCTCGTGCACAAACTTTCAAGTGTATGCTGTTCACCGTTAAATAGTTCCATTGTAGGAGAAAACCCTCACGACTGCATCTTCGTCTGTTGTATCAAGACATGATTTATTGTCAGAGCAGCCTGTTTGCAAAGTTTCAAGTGTTTGCTGTTCATCATTTAAAAATTCCATTGTGGGATGAAACCCTTGTCGCAGCATCGTTATCTGGTATACAAGGGTACAGCCTATCGTCAGAATAGCCCGCGGCCAAAGTTTCAAGTCTATTCTGTTCGCCGTTGAAGAGTTTCATCATGAAAATAAACCTTCATGGCTGCGTCGTCTTCTGGTATACGACTGACGAGGATACGATCCATTATTATTAAATGTTCACGTTCGTGTTGTTTGTTGTTTACGAGTTCAGTTATAATATTCCATGTCCAGTCCTGTTCAGCTCTTCCTTGCCATGACCTTAATTTGGTACCTATTTCGTTTTGAGCTGTCAAAAACTTAACAATTTCTCTATCGTTAAAGATTTCTTATTTAATTTTCAGGAATATCCTGGTTTATCTTCAAAATCTAAGGTCTAATCCCAGTGAAATTAAAATGGGATCAAATAAAGAGGAATCATTCAAATTGGTTCATTAACAAAAAAAAAATGGGTGCGTGTACGCGCATGAGAAATTATACTTCTTTGGTGTCATTAAAAATAGATTTTTTTCTTAATTATATTATATTTTTATAATTACAATAAATAATTAATAAAAAATATTTACTTTAATCAATTTAATAATAAATTTCAATTCAAATATATATTATTTTCTTAATTTAATATTCACTTTTCACTTTTATCAATAAGTTTTCATTAAATTTGTTCATATCTTTTTTTAAATATTTATTATTTATTCAATTTAATAATAAATGTTAAAAAACAATATTTTAATTTGATGGTCGATTTTAATTTTTATCACAAATTTTTTATTAAATGTTTTATTAAATTTATTTCTTAATTTTGTAAATATTAAATAACCAATAATAAATATTTAATATTAATAATTTAATAATATTTAGTGTTAACTATATTAAATAATAATATTGTAATTTATATCAATAAATAATACATACGGATATTTAACCTCAATTATATTGGAGTACGTAAAAAAGCATATAAGAACAATTTTTTTCACTAATATTTACGAATAGTAAAAACTTGGCCCATGAGGGGATCGAACCGGCGGCCTTCTCGTTATTAGCACAACGCTCTAACCAACTGAGATAATGGGCCATTGAGATGACGTACGAAAAACCTTTATATATCAAAAAACCTGTTAATTATGAGTTACACCGATGCGCGCACATCTTAAAATTTCACTCTCATCATTTTTTCATAACGCGCCTAAAGAAGTATAACTTCAAAAAATTATGCTTGAACATAAATATCTTACGAAGAATTTAGAAACTCCTTTTTTGAAGTAAATTAAAAAATACTCTCCAATAAGTTTCAAGCCAAAAATAATTAACTTGTTAATAGCACCGATTAATTATATTAATTGAAATAAAAATAAGGCTCCACTAGCGTTGCGTGTAGTAGACGAAAGTAATGCGCAATAGTTACGCGACAACGACAGTTTGAAATCTATCGCCTATCGTGGACAGAAAGGCAACGCGCGAGCAAATATACCACTAGCGTTATAGCTGTTACACGTGATTAGCGTGTAGACGCCAGTGGAGCCCAGCAATAAGAACTGATGTCACTCACTGTAAAATTACTAAAAATTGCAAATGATGAATAAATATTTTCTTGAATTTTAGCATGACAAATCAGGGGTAAGTCGACAATGACCCACTGTTTTGAAAAATATAAATCTAACAAAATTATTCAAAGAAATTGAAAGATGCGATTTACAGATTCTGTAGAGCGATATTATTATTAAGTAAAAATATTTCCTTTATGTTTTTTTTATTTTCATATAAAAATCAAATATTCAGAATTATAAGCATCGGAACAAGATACACACAAATCACGTGCAAGCATATCGAATGCTTGAGCTGAACGAAAGAATGAAAAAAATTGCTTCTCTGAACGTAAGTTTTAAAGATATTTTATTAAATGTTTAAATAGGTTTTTTTAATGCATATAAAATAGTGAATATATTTTTACTCTCATGTGTAGTTAGTATTAATATCTAGCAATTCTATTTTTTACTTTTTAGTATATGTTTGTATTTTTTCACAAATTACTAGAAAAATGAAGTTTTCGAATTGGCTATTTCAACTTTGTCTTAAGTACTGAAATAAAAGTTTGTGGGTAGACACTCTGCATGACTTGGTGGGGTGATGTAACAACAACAGAACAACTTTTTTCCTTCCATTATTTTAAAAGAACTATTAAAGAAAATAGTGGACACTGTTCTAATCTTAAAATCGTAAGATTAGAATTCGTAATCGTAAATTAATTGTCTATGCTATGATATATAAAAATTAAAGAGAAAAAAAAAACCTTTTTTAAAAGCAAGCTTTTATTATTTGTTAATAAAATGAACTAAAAAGTTAAAAATAAATTAACTCTAATAAGAAATATAACACTTTATGAGTTCATTGTAACCTTTAACGATAATTATGCTTCTTCGTCTACGATAAAATAATTCTACATCGCATATAATTATATATTTTTAACACTAAAACTTTACACCTTAATTATTAAATCTTCCCATTTTTATCACAGTCTCAATTTTATAAATAAAAGCGTGTTACATTTTGATTATATAATTAAGAACATTTAGCACCTTCTTTTTCCTCTTACTATCAAAATGTAACACGATTTTATTTATAAAATTGAGACTGTGATAAAAACGGGAAGATTTAATAATTAAGGTGTAAAGTTTTAGTGTTAAAAATATATAATTATATGCGATGTAGAATTATTTTTTCGTAGACGAAGAAGCATAATTACCTTTAAAGGTTACAATGAACTTATAAAGTGTCATATTAGGGGGATTCATTCCCGCAAAAATTTTTTTTTTTTGGCACAAGCAAAATTTTACTCTACATATAGAAAAAAATATCTGACCAAGATTTAGTTCTTAATTCCAATTTTATATACTTACAATTTCAATTAGGAGATTTCCTATTGAAAATGCACGTATTTTTTTTTATTTCTAATGCTTAGACACCTTTTATCATATTGAGAATCAATTTGATGAACCTTACGGGGAATTTCACGCTCTTTAAAATTGCCTTTGTGTTTTTTTTTTGCGTTACTCGCACTGGTTCGACAATAAGAGTCATCAAAGTGCTGTTTTTGGAAAAAATTGTTTTTTTTTCCATTTATTTGAGCAAATTGCAAGAATTATGAAGAAAAAAGTGCTGACTCGTAATAAATAGTGTTTTTTACCAATATTTAATGAATTTACAGCATTTTAGGCCTTAAAACGTAAGAAATAGATAAATACTAACTAATGATATTTAAATTCAACTTTTTTTATTGAATTCCAATATATTTTTCTATAATAATAACTTTTTCTAAAGTTATTTTAATTCGAGTTTTTTCTTCTCACTTGTGTATGTATTCTATCGATATCTTGCCTATTTGTGCGTTGTTCTAACGATTCGTTTTCTCTATGTTTACCTATCGCTAACGTTATTTTTTCTAAGCGTTGCCGCTTGTGGACATCGCTTTCATTAGCAATCTTCTCCTGTCACTTGAATTTGGCCTTCTCTAAACGTCGTTTTCTTTGTGTAATAGTTTCTTTTTTTTTTGTTTATGTTGTTCCCACGAGTATAGAATAAAAACGGTCCATTCCCTCAGAGGTCCACTGTAAAGGGATAAGGGCTCCAGTACAACAGCGTTCGCCCTAGTATCGTGAGGCACAACGTTAGCGATATGAAATGTTTATACATTCTCATACCATTCAGCCCTCGGCACGTGCTCACCCTGGCATTGGGTCTTCCATCTAATCAATTAGACATTATCAACATTCATAGCAAACGGAAGGAACTTTTCTTCCCAAATTTGTTGGAGTTGCATATTCACGCCAACCAAGATACTCATCAATACAAATCAAACGAGCCCAAACTCGATGGGGTTGCGTCGTTTAATTACGGAGTTGCTATGGCCACCTTCCAGCTTCATCATCAGATCAGCTCTATATCATAATAATACTGCATTGTCATCCGATTTATACATGCAAGCAAAATTTCAGCTCAACCGGAAACCGGGAAGTGGATCAAGTTTAACTTGCAAGATTTGATTACCGACCGACAGACGGACAACGGGACAGGTAACACTAAATAAAAACTTGTAGAAAACACGTAATTTTCTTACACAAACCAATCAACTTGTAAGGCTACGGGACAAACCCTGTACCTTAAACTAAAAAGACGAATTTGATTTTGATACAAAACATATTCAAGAACAAATAGATTATGTAGAAGCATTCGAGAAATTCCGACGAAAGTATTTTATATGGAAGAGGAGTCGGCTCGAGTGCCCTTAAGCGGCGCTTTTTAGGGAAATGTGATTCAAATATAATTCGAGTAGTTTCTCTCTACGTTGCTAAGTGATAAAACTGAAATACTAGTGAAATAATAACCAAACAATACGTTAAATCGGAAAATAAATTAGGAAAAACGGAAAAAATATCTTATATTAAATATAAAGATCTTAATATAGAAAATTAACTAGGAATAAAATTAAATTCCAAATATATTCAATAAATCAATAACTTTTAAAGAACTAAATAAATAAATTAAAGATTACTAAATTTTATGATAAATACTTGGTATAGAATATTAGAATTCAGGAAGGTCATAACATCGTGGCTATGAAAAATAGACATTTCATTATCAAAAAATATTCAATATGATTTGTTCAAGTATACGATAAGTATTTGGACCGATTCAAGCGAAGGAACATAGTGATGCCACGAACAGTTAAAACTATAACAGTGTGTTGATGGAGGGGGCGTACCATTAACAAAACCACACTCTATTGACCAAAGTTACGCTAGACGTTACAAGTACCGCTACAGGCGACGAGTAGATCGAGTGCCCGATAATGTGAATTGGCTCGATAAAAAAGACGCCCGCGACGTGTCAAGTGCCGCCCGTCCCGTGTGCTTTGGCGCGTGTCCGCTGGCCGCGTCAGCCGAAGTCTGCTTGACGTTAGAACTAAAAGTCTCGTTAGTGGTCGTGTAAGTGGTCGTGTAAATACATACACAACGTCCAATGTCTGTATGTAAATACACATTTATACTTTTTCAGTTGCACGTATTTACGTGCAACTGAAAAAGTTGCTTATTTACGTGTGCTTATTTAAGCACACGTAACTTCTAATATCTGCCCGTAAATAAACACACGTAACTTCTAATGTCTGCACGTAAATAAGCACACGTAACTTCTAATGTCTGCCCGTAAATAAACACACGTAACTTCTAATATTTGCACGTGAATACACACACCTAACTTCTAATGTTTGCACGTAAATACACACACGTAACTTCTAATGTCTGCACGTAAATACACACACGTAACTTCTAATGTCTGCACGTAAATAAACACACGTAACTTCTAATGTTTACACGTAAATACACACACGTAACTTCTAATGTCTGCACATAAATACACACACGTAACTTCTAATGTCTACACATAAATACACATACATAACTTCTAATGTTTGCACGTAAATAAACATAGATAATTTCTAATATCTGTACGTAAATAGACATACATAGCTTCTAATATCTGTACGTAAATGAACACAAGTAACTTTTGACGCCTGTAGGCTGTACGCAAATACAAAAGGGGTTCTCTACAAAGTGAGAATGAGGTACAAACTTTATGGAACCAAGGAAAAGAAAAACTTACTGGTAAAGCTGATGCATTGATTAGATTTTAAAAAAATAAATATTTTGTATCTCTCGTTTTTTAAAATGGAAGTCTTCTGTTTAGAGTCTCTAGTAGCGTGTTGTTAAGAATGGAAAAAATTGACTTGGCGCACTTATTAAGTATCAGTATTTGAAAATTTTCACTACAGAACGAGTTTATTAAGGCTTATAGAATAATAAGGAGAAAACGCTCCACCGTATTCTACAGTTACACGTCGGTACACCGCATCTAAACGGAAAAACACTTAACAAAGGTGACCCTCACCGGGGCCGACCAACAACGGTAGAGATCGCAGAAATTATAGAAAATAAAAACATCTGTTTTAGAAAATTTTTGTGTCATGGTACGTTTTATAGACAAAAAAAAAATTCAACTTGTACTGTACTTAACTTTTTA